CATACATACATACATACACACACATACACATACATACATACATACACACACACACACATACATACATACATACACATACACACACAAACACACACACACACATACATACATACATACATACAGAGAAAGTTACAGTTTTTACTGATTTTATATTTTGTTTTGGGGATTTTGTTGTTTTTACTGTTTTGTATGCCACCCAGGGTTGTTATAAACATGGGCAACTTTATAATGAAATGAAATAAAATGTAAAATAAAATATAAAATATGCGATAGAAGCTCTTTCTAAGCTAGCATCTTGAAGATTTTCATACAACGTTGTCCACAGTTTGTTTATTTACAGTTTTGTTAGGTCTAGAAGACTGATGACTCCCAAATGACTTTGTTCCCTTCATAGCCATGTTAGCTAGTATTTTGGGGTGGGGTGGGATTGTAAGTCTAAAAGTGTCGGAGGCTGCAAAGTTAGAGAGCGCTGGACTCAATTATGCAACAAAAGATATGAGATATAAGAAGACGTGGTACTGAATTCATTCCTTTTCTGAATATCTAAAATACTCTGCACCATTAACAAACCCCAAAGCTTTTCCTTTTCTCATCTTCCTCTTCCCTGGTACTTTTTTTTAATAGTTAAAACTTTATTTAGCAGTAATATAGCATATACAGAGGTAGAGATGTACAAGTAGTCCTCATTTAGTGACTGCCTCGTTTAGCGACCATTTGCAGTTACGGCACTGATGAAAAAGTAGCTTTGCAACCAATCTTCTCATTGACAACCTTCACAGGTCTGTAAAGCCGAGGAAAGCCGAAGTCAGATCATAAGCACCATCGCAGTTTCACTTAGCAATCGCTTCATTTAACGACCAAGTTGCCGGTTCCAGTTGTGGTTGCTAAACAAGGCAACCTGTATATTCATTTCTCTTTTAAAAGGTACAGGTAGTCCCCAGTTTAAGAACAAGTTTGGTTTCCAAGGTCCTTAAGTCGAATTTGTAAGCCAGAACAGTAATATGGTATAATACTGTATAAGTTATGTTGTGTAATTAACTTGAATCATTGTGTATTTAATTCGAAACCCGGGGACTCCCTGTACATCAACTATACTCTGCGTTTTTCTTTTTTTAGTCTTGTCCTTTCCTTTTACAGTGGTACTTCGGGTTACGAACTTAATCCGTTCCATGACTCTGGTCGCAACCCGAATTGGTCGCAACCTGAAGCAAATTTCCCCATATGAACCTTATGACAAGCACACCAAAAACCTTCCAAAACGCCACAAAACACACCACAAGCCTCACTGAACGTCTCCTTGCTACCGCGATCTTGCCCACAGGAAGCCGCGACCGCGTGGCAGCAGGGAAAATGGGCGCTGATCCAGTTCGTAACCCGAGGCGGAGTTAGCAAACCGAGGTAAATTTTTGTGGCCGGAGCTGGTCGTAACCCGAAAAGTTCGTTGGCGTTCGTAACCCGAGGTACCACTGTTTTTAAAACAAAGGTGTGTTTCCAAAAAAGAGATCTGGGCATTAACAGGTAATTCCTGAGGTTATACAATTATTGCATTAGTCTCATTCGACGTGCCTCCTGTGATTTGTATAGGACTCCGCGAACGGACAGCAGAAAGCCGCAGGGTCCCCGCAGGGTCCCAACGTCCGCCTCAGACGCTGCGGATACTGCATGGTGAAGGTGGGCTCTTGGTCTCCAGGTGGAATCCCCCAACTTGCAGCGTTGCGAAGGGGTCATCAGGCGCCCTCGAGAAGGACCGTGGAGCTCCAGTTAACCGAATTCGGCAGCTTTTCCACTCGCTTCCTAATTTGGAAGGTGGAATTGGCCCGGAGGTTTCGGGCACTAATGCGGATGGGGAAAACGGGGTCAGGCGTAGGCATTGGTGAGCGGATGGTCATAGAAAGTCAGGCTGGGGAGGGACTTTGGGAGGTCATCCAGCCCAACCCCCGCCCAGGGCAGGAACCCACTGCTACGGCGTCCCCGACTGATGACCGCCGGCCTGTTGAGACGCCTTTAGGGAAGGTGACCCCAGCATGACACGATGCCTTTTGTGGTCTTGCAGCAGCCTTTGCGAGCCAAACATTGCCAGTCCTGCCACCATTGTGTCCGCCGCTACGACCATCACTGCCCTTGGATTGAGAACTGCATTGGGGAGAGGAATCACCCACTTTTCGTGCTGTATTTGGGGGTGCAGCTCGCCGTCCTGCTCTGGGCTCTGCAGGTGGCTTGGTAGGTAACAGGCAAAGCCAGGGATTGGGGACCCCGGCCTTACGTCTGAAAAGTGTACAATGGCATCTCTGTGACATCGAAGTCAGGTTGCCCGTGGCCATGATGTCACTGCTCCGATGACACAAGTGATGCTCTTGTGTTCGAGCAGTGTTTCTCAACCTTGGCTGAGCCGGGGAATTCTGGGAGTTGAAGTCCACCCCTCTTAAAGCGGCCAAGGTTGAGAAACACTGCGTTAGCGTGTTGTGCCACGCGCAGCATTATTTAACTGTCCTTGGAGGATGGCTGTGAATGGAAACATCATCTTATGCAAAGATCCAGACTGAAACGGCAGGCGAAGAGGTCGCCTCCTGTTGTGGGCTACAAATCCCACATTCCTTATTGTAAAGCTTGGGCATTGAGGGCACTGTCATTGCTCTGCCCATCGTCCTTGCCCTGGTAAACAAATACACCTTTTTTGAACTCTCAGGCATCCTTTTAGTCCCCTTGTCTCTCGTCTGTGTCTCTCACCTGTCTTTACCCCTAAAGCTCCAATGCTATTTATTCGATATTGGTTGGATTGCCCCAGAAGCTCCAGTTGATGTACAGAGCCCTGTCCTCCACATCTCTCCCCAAAGCAGCAACCCTGCGAGGTAGGATGAGTCAAGAGGGAGTGACTGGCCCAAAGTGACCTGGGGAGCTTCAGTGATTGAGGATCAGCTCCATCCTGTGAGAAGTTGAGCATCTGTTTGAGTATTTCAGTATTCCATGAAAGTTCTTGCCTTATTGGGGCTCTCCTCAGTTAGGGTTCCTATCCTAGCTGATCTAAGTAGCGTCAGATCTTCTTGTTCTTGGATGGGAGGTTGTAGGTTAGACTGGAAAGCTGGAAAAATTTCCAAGAAAAAGGCAAGCAACTTCTGCATTGTTGCCAAGAGAACGACATGGCTGCCTTCATGAAGCCACCAGAGATGTTATATGCCTCCCCTAATCAATATTTGAGAACCACTTTGGTTTAAGGCACCAGGCTAGAAACCAGAGGCCACGAGTTCTAGTCCTATCTTAGGCATGAAGCCAGCTGGGTGGCCTTGGGCCAGTCCCTCCCACTCAGCCCAGGAAGAAGAAGAGAAGGGCAAGCCACTTCTAAAAATGTTCCCAAGGAAACAGGAGGGACTTCTCCAGGCAGCCCCCAGGAATCAACACGGACTCAAAGACCCACATAATCGGTATTTGGTGACGTGTCTTGAAGTTCCCCCAGCTTGAGAGACACTTCTGGAAGTTTTGAGGCTGCCTGATCACTCCGTGGCTATTCAGAGAGGATATAGAACAGATTTGGGTCCTTGGCTTATAAGGACCTGTGAAATATTCCACGCGTGGAGACACTGGGTTGGGAGAGGGTGGTCTGTGGACAACTGTGAGTTGCAGTTGGGGCGGGAGGTGGAGAAGGAGGAATAGTCCAGATGGAGGGGTTTGGTTGGTGATGGTATAGATGGGCATCAGTGGCATCTGAAGGAGAGAGAAGGAGGTGCCAGGAGGACAGTATTTTTGGTGCACAGGAGGAAAAACAGCACACACGCGTGCACACACACACACACACACCCTGGCCCTACGCAGCACAGGGATTCCAGAAATGCTATTCTGGGAGTTGGGGCATTCTGGGAGTTGAAGTCCACAGGTCTTAAAGTTGTCAGAGTTGAGAAACACTGTTCTAGAGGTACCAAGGAGTGTGTTCAAAAATCAAGGAGACTCATTTAGTTGATGCCTCCGTGACGCTAGTTGCAGATCGATCACGTAAGGCAATAGGAAGGGTTTGGGCTTTGGAGAGGGGGTGGTCTTTCAGGCCCTGATCCTTGGGTGAAGTACTCAACTCGAAAGGGACCTTAGAGGTCATCTAGTCCAACCGCATACATTTGACTCCTTGGGAAGTGAGATCGCAGTATTCCCACGTTTCCTTTTCTCTTGAAAGGTCTGGCTTGAATTTCCAGCCGTTTTCCTGGACGTGGCTTCAGAGCAACCTGGTCCTCCTCCTCTCCTTCCTCTTGATCATCGTCTGCACCGTGGTGGTGACGCTGCTGCTGGCCTCCCACCTCTACCTGGTCTCCTGTAACACCACCACCTGGGAATTCATGTCCCGCCATCGCATCTCCTACCTGAAGCACTGCAAGGTGGAAAACCCCTTTGACCAGGGGGTCTTCCTCAATCTCTGGAGATTCTTCTGCGCGTGTCGGCTCGTCGCGTGGGAAAAACTCTACCCCCCAGAGGAAAGTGACCTGGTGTGATGGCAGGAGGCTTTCGGGAGAGGGATTGGGCAGTTCAGTTGCCCAACGGACACTTTTGAGATGACGCGGAAGCCCCAGACCGTCATCCCAATTAGAAGGAGGACCCATTTTCTGTTGCATCACCTCTTCTAACCAAAGGCTAAAATCTGATGGGTTGGGTTGGGGTCAGCCAGTCAGGGATCCTAACCTTAACGTTGGAGATCTAGCTCCTTTCAACTGACTGGGCAGCTGCTAGAGAGGACCCAAAGGAAGCATACGGGGTCAGCGTGGGGAAGAACGTTCAGAGGTCCAGACCCCCCCCCTCGAAATACTGCAAGGTGGATTTTAGCAGGATGTTCGTATCCGATTGACGCCAGAGAACGGGCGCTCCTTGGAAGCCGAGCGTTTTTCCTAAGCAAATAAGAAGGTAGCTTCACATCGTGCCTTGGGACAGAGCTGGAAGGAAAATGGTTTTAATCCAACACTAATTTTAATAAAAGATCAATGTTTGGATTGAAAGATGCGTCCTGTCTGCAGGATGTGCGCGTGTGCAAATGAATGGAGGGCGGGGCTTAAACGGGGGCGGAGCTGCAACCACTCGTTCTTCCTGATGTCTTATTTTTTCCGTTTTTCATATCGGTACCCTCCCCTCTTGCCCTGCCCGGCCGGCACGCAGATGATTAGATCTCCTTGCTCTTGACGTTAAAAGACTTGTCAAGGCCGCTCCTACTTGCCGACTCCTGGCCAGACACAGGCTGGCGTCGGGGGGTGTAAAAATGTACTAAATACATTGAATAAGTAATAAAAATTGAATAAATACATAGGCTGTATAAACAGTAGCTGGAGGAGGACAGTTGCTAGAGCAGAGTTTCTCAACCATGGCAGTTTCCAGATGTGTGGACTTCAACTCCCAGAATTCTCATCGATGGCTGTGCTGTGCTGGCTGTGGAATTCTGGGAGTTGAAGTCCACACATCTGGAAATTGCCATGGTTGGGAAACACTGTGCTGGAGAGCACAGGCTTAAGGCATAAACCTTGGGTTTAAAACCATCCCGGGTGTCCCACACTTCCTCTGTAAACACCAATAGCTGGGTTCGTACGTTGCAGCAAGCCACAGCCAAACCACGATGGGGCTCAGGGTGACGTGTGCATCTGCTAGGGTGTTCAGTAAAAATGGCACTAAGGTGTTAAGTGAAATAATAAAATTAAGGCCCGTTTCAGGGCGGGTAGGATTAGAACGGGAGAAACCTCCATTCACAAGTATCTAGTGTCCAGGTCAGTCCCAACTCCAGACCTCACACTGGGGGGCATCTGCAGGGAGGTCAAAAAAGTCAAGATGTGGCCTTTTTTGACAACCTCGCAAATTCCCCCTGCTCGCACTGCAACTTCCTCTTAATAAAACTATTCACACCCACTGAAATCATTCCTCTCCCATCGGACTCAAAAGATGGCATGCACATGGCGGTCTTTAGCACTGCAGTCTTCAACCTGACCCTCGCGGGTATGTTGGACTACAGTTCGCATCATCCACAGCAGGACTGGAGATGTCCGGTGGCCCAGGGCGTGCCTTTGCCATGGAAAAAACTTCCACGCCTCTTAAAAAAGCTCAACTAGGCTACGATGATGTCCCCACTCCAGCCGAGTCACCTTAGAAAACACTCCCGTGCTCTGCTTTCATATTCAAAACAGTTTAATTTTAAATATTAAATCACAGTGGGTTATTCAAAGGTGAGACGCCTCTCGCACTGGGTTTCCATCCGTGTGTGTTTTCTCTCCCATTCCTCCCTCCTCCATGCCCGGATGGCATTTGCCCTCCTTCGCGGAGGCAAAGAGACTGGCAGAGGGGAAAAGAAAAAAAAATAGAATTCACATAAATCCGCCCTACGGCCCCTAAAGTGACATCTCCAGAGGCGAAACAGATGTGGAAATCGAGGCAGCTAAGCGCTGATGGGGTGACATCCTTCAAAGCGGCATTGTGCCCTTTGCCCATGGGCGGAACAAGGAAGAAGGCCAGCTTTGTTTTCAAACCGACGGGAAGAAGAGAGGATCTCTTTGTTTTCAGCCCAGCTGAGCAGCCAACGCCGGACTTCGGTTGCAGTCGTCTGCCTGGGAATACGGTTCAAACTCCACGTGGACAAGGGCCACGCGGAGCGTGCGTTCTGCCCGTCGATAGTCCGCACCCTGCCCGCCCTGAGGTCCCCTATCGATAGCTTGGACAGCTGTGCTTTCCAGCTGTGGTAGCCCCCGGGTGCCAGCTCTTCCCTTTGCAGAGCCGGGGGGTGCAGGTGGGACCTAGAGATCCGAGGGGATCCAACTCTTCATCCTCTAGGCCAACCTTGGCGACTTGAAGATGGGTGGACTTCAACTCCCAGAATTCCCCAGCCAGCCTTG